CACTTTACTAGGGAATTTCCCCATCACTTGGTGAATGTGGTGAAAATTCACTTAGCAAAGATTACCTAACAACGTGCAAGGGAAATGAAAGAAAACGATATTTCTACTTTCACATGATTGGATGATGGAAGTCAGCAGAGCTTCAGCTCATTCACTAAGCTATGGGAAAGCTCCCTTGCAAACAGAACAGCCCATTTGCCTTTAATAATGTTGGAAATACAACAGCTCAAGCTGATTTAATATTGTCTTTGGAGCACTAGATGGCGCTGTGGCGCAAAACTAGTCTGTATGCTATTTGTCTATGTGCATACTTGTCTGTGATGCAGAGGAGGTTACATCCGTATATATGTTTTCTTCTCTATGATCTATATGTCTCCTGTTTGATGCTGTAATCATGTATACATGTATGCAACGTTTTTCTAAGCAAGTAAAACCTAATTAAGCATTTCTGAAGATCTCAGTGCTTCATCTAAACACATAACCAACAAGTAAAACAAACCCTAAAGAAAGGAATGCTGAAGGTGGTTTCTATATAGACATATAGAAGGTTGTTATGTAAGCCACTTTAATAAGTAATGTTAGTAATTAAGTTAATACTTACTGGGTGCCAAGTAACACTCATAGAAGCAGGGCTAGGGTTGGTTAATGCTGTAACAAGAAGAATACATCAGTAATATAGGACACCAATTGCAGTGTGAATACAAACAATATCGCTAAACATAAGGAGAGGACTGGTAAGATGGCAGACAATACACAAAGGATATCATTTGGAGAAATTGAAGAAACTTTCCTTAAACTATATTTAAGTTCTTGGTAGTTATTAGTAAGTTTGGTTTAAGTTGGCTCTAGACAATAAATAGTCAGACTTGCAAAAACAATCTTACCACCTTCTGGAATCTAAACAATCAAATAGTCACCAATGGCAATCAGGATGAAACAGGAAGGGACAGCACACTGCAGATACCTCCAGTACTGGCTTATTGGAGACCCACAACAATGATTGGACAAGGTTTTCTTACCAGTCCTAGAGCTATTTTCCTTAGTACCAGTGTCTAATCACAGCTCATAGACATCAGATGGCAAAATCCGGTCAAAATGGTTGTCGTCTAATGTACATAAGCACCTTTATCTGCACTCTTTTAAAATCCATTATCTATATTTTTTATAGCCATCAAAGATCTGGTGAGATAAGTTTGTTTCTTTGCCCCATAGATGGAACTCTCTTGCAGGTGGACTTCTTAATAATTTGTTTATTGCCATGGGAAATCTTTTGGGGGTGTATTATACTTCAGCATGAAGCAGAAGTAGGAATTCTGGCGGGATTATCACTCCACTGCAATCCATAAGAGATGAGAGATTCCAGCCCCGGATTCAGTTTGCAAGCCAGCACACAAAAGCTTTGGATGAAACTGCATTCTAGGGTGCTTCCAGTCAATCATGACAGTAATGTGAGAGGTTAGATTTGAAGGACACAAGTCTTCTTTTCAACATGGTTAGCCATGACATGTTTAGTTGCTGTACATGATACCCGCATTGCTGTTAAGTTAAAAAAAGAGATTTCACTAAATTTGTTTAGGAGGCTAAACACCCAAAATAATACCAAACCCACAGACTGATAAAGCTACTCAACCATCATAGTCATTTATATCTGCAGTCTCTCCCATGGCAGGCTGTAATGGTGGCAATGTATAGCCAGATGCTCAGATCAATTATGATATTCAGGCCATTGTTAGTGCCCTTGGAGCAATAATGAGCAGGTTGAAGGATCTTGTTATCACACATGGAGAGCTTTTGGAAAAACTTCCTGAGAACCATGAACGTTCACCCACACATTAAGGACGAATTGTAGAGGGTCTGGACACTTTTGTGGGCAGGTATTTCCCTGCCTGCCATTTTTGGGGTGACATCTAGCATCTAAGGCAATCAAAACAGAAGATATGTATGTGGGTCTGTTTCACATTAGGGGGGTTATTCACTTAGCTGTCGAAGGCAGCCAAGTGAATAACCGAGCCGAAGTGAAGTGAGCCGAACGGTGTTCGGCTATTCACTTTAGCTTAAAATCAGCCGTACATCGTATGCCTTCGGTCAGCCGAACATGCTCTGCAGCCAAAGTGCTGAGCCGAAGTGCAGAAGGAGTTCGACTCAGCCAATCTAACATCTGGGATTTTTTTTATATTTTAAAGAAAAAAATAACAATTAAAAATAATTTTTTAAAAACGACGCACGCCGACCCGGCCGCACGTGACGAACTCCTGCCACATAATGTCAAATCTGACAGATGCCGCCGATATAAACAATTTGATATGTTTCCTATTTGCCGTCACCTGCCACAGTCTTTTACCAGGTCCTGGGCAATAAATAACAACTGGGCAGATGTCACGGCCAGCTCCGCCAAGTTGTTATTGTTAAATGACAGATCAGCATCCCCAGGTCATTTGGAGATGCTGATCTGTCATTACAACTCTCATTTGCATGGGGATCGGTCGGCTTCGGCTGACCTTTCTCCATGCTTCGCCTGTCACTACAGCTCAGCCGAGCCGAAGCATATGGGTTTGGCTTGGCTGGGCCGCTCACCTGCCTTCAGCTGCTGTACGGGCTATAATGAATAGCAGTTCAACTGAGCCGAAGGGCTCCGGCAGCCAAAGTGAGCCGAAGGATCAGCCGAAGCTACAGCTGGATCCTTCGGCTCGTTCGTGAATAACCCTGTAGGTCATTCAATTCTGATTGTGCACTTGACTAATAATAGCCACCTAAAATGCCATTTGCCAATAAACCTCAGATTCTCTTTAAAGTTGACCTTTAACCCCTTTCACTAAAAATCACATTAGTGTGCAGCTCTGCATGCCGATATGAAATCATCTTACATTCATTAGTAAAGTTATATTTAGTAGACTAAAAGTAAGATTTCAGTCCATCACATGAGTGAGCTTGGAGCAGTGGTTACTTTACAACACACACAGGGACCATAGGGAACAAAAGTAGCCACCGTCTAGAAAGAAGGACAGTGTCAGCACCAATTCAGAGATGATTGGAGGATCTACAGCCGAGTGATACACAAATAAGATACATTATTGTTAATAGTTAAGGTACTTGAATGCATGTTTAAGATTTAACTCCTGAGTTTGGTGTCACTTTAAAGGACCCTATTGGTATATATTGTTTCGTTTCATCATAGTCAAATCAAGGAAATAAGATTTCTGCCTTTCGAAATAAACCTTTTTGTATCTCATACTTGGAAACAGTCTCATATTTTAAAGCCGTAATTTATTTTAACCAGTCTGTAAAATATTTATTTTAATATGTTAATTTTAAATTGTATATAATATTACATTTAAATTGTGCTGGTGACATACCTGAATTTCTGGAGCTGGGCGAAATCTGCTGTATAGTATCAGCTGTGTGAGACACATTCTGAGGTGCCCTACTGTCCAGGTACGGCATAGCAGAGATACTTTGCCTCCTATAAGAGGAAAAATACAAATAAAAAAAAATAAAAAAAATAAAGATTTAACATGCCAATAAATAACAAGCCTTAATTTAGCTTTATTAAAAGTGTACCCAAGGCGGTCCCTATCTTTTTCGCTGCCTGAGATAGCCAAGAGAAGGGGGAGGAGCTGTCAGCCGGTCGAGCGTCAGGCTGCCACATTATGGGGACACCCCTATGTGTATCTCTGGGCAAACCTTTTTTTAAATTTTGGATACAGTAGAGGAGGGTTAGACCCCCTGTCATAGTTTGATTGCCATTTGGAAATGTGGAAAGACAGTGCTGGACCCGTGTGGTTATTCTCTTGGTGTTTCTCATTCAACAGAAGTGGTGAAAATGGGTCATCTGGCTAACGAGTAGGCAGCCTCCACAATCCAAAGGATCTCCACAGTATCCTTGGATTGACAGTAAACACAGTAGATGTGGGAATTGAAGCGCCACACCAATTAAAAATGTGCAGATACATCTTTATTCATTCATCATTCAATTAAGGTTAGGAAACATTCCAGTAGAGTAGCAAATGTCTTTTAGCTGCCAAACAAGCTGCTGACAAGCCTGAAGTACTCCCGTCACAACTTCCAAGCTGCAGGCATTGTAGTCTGCATATGAGATTTCTCCTATTAAGCCCTGATAAGGGGGTGTGTTTTGGAACCCAGAAAAGTGTTGGCTACTCTACTTGAATGTTCCCTGACCCTAGTAGTTGTATCTAGACTATTGTAATTGGTATGGCGCTTCAATTCCTACATCTACTAAGTTTTGATTGCTTTCTGTATCCCCATTGTAACTGAAAAAGTAAGTGAGGGAAAAAACAAAATGTTAGAGTTTTTGTCCCCAGAAAAAGAGGCAAGGGGAAAAATTCCAATGGGGACACCTGTCCTGGGGACATCTGTCTAAGAGGGGATTTTCATCACTTTGAGAGATTTCTTCTGACTTCCTGTTGCATCTCCGGGATTGGAGGTGAAGAAAAATGTCCACAATGTTACAAAGACAGCAGAAATAAACTGACAGGGGTATTAAATAGGTTGCCCTGAAATTTAGGCCGCCAAAACATTTCAGGTGAAAAATGGTGCTATGGGCCGATAGTACAAAGATGGCCAAAAATGCTGTACATTCTTAGCTTCTCCTCCACAGTGGATGCCAGCTGCAAGCTTCAGTCTCTTTGCACTCCGATAAATATTTACTATCTCCAGATTGTAAATGAACAGGAAGCCTCTGCACTGAGTGCTTCCTGTTTATTGAGTGCTCAGGCTGTAGAAAAATAGATTGAGGACTCTGTGTCCTCAATTTCTTTTTTTTATTTTCAAAGGGAAATATCAGGGGTCTGTTTAGACCCTCATATATTTCGCTAAAGCCTCTAACAGTAAAATAAAAAAAACATATAAATAAAATAATTAAAAAAGGTTGGGAACATTTTTTTTTCCGGTTTCAGCCTAAAAATTTAATTTTGGTAGATCCCCAGTATAAACCTTTACCTACACAAGTTTTGGCTATATATAACACTTTAATCATATTTTACCTGGGAAGAACAGCAGATGATAACGGGTTGCAGTTATATTGATCCTGGTTTACAACAGGCCACCTTCTGGTTTTCTGATTCTGTGATACACTTTGTCTTACACTGGTATACAAAGAAGGCGACTCCTCAGTTTTATGTGATGCTACAGGCTGCAGGCAGAGACAGCACACACAGTACATATTAACAGGTGTTAGAAAGAAGCAGTAAAGCTATCATAGGTAAAAAGATTGAGTAATAAACTTCACAGTAAATGCAGACTGACTGAATGTAGTTTTATATTAGGAAGCATATATCCAGAGAAACTAATACATTCTAAATACATTGGTTACAATAGCTGCTAATCATTGAGGCTCTTATGTATCATGCTCCTAAGAATTGAAGTTATTTCCCCTCAATTACCAACCAGATTCAAACTTTTAGGGCATTTCATGTTTTTGGTGGCTCAGGATATGTAACTCCATATCATGGATGTAAGAACATGCTAATATATAAGGTTCTTAAATTAGATAGTGTTATTTCAGCATAGTTTATTGCTGCTTCTTCTCATGGCAATTCAGGTGGTTGAATCCAGATGGTAGTGAGAAGCCCACAAATGCTACAATAATAAAATCAGTTAACATTGGGAGGCAACTTAAAACTGTGGGCATGTCCATTAAAAAAGTCATGGGCTTAAGGGTCTGTGTCGGCATGTTATGTTTGTTTCAAGTGGGCATACATGTCTACGGGAGTGCAAACCCTGCTTGAAGCAGGTCAGAATGAAGTCAGCTGCAGGTCAAGGTAGGGTTGCCACCCATCCAGGATTCACCCGGACAGTCCGCTTTTTTAGTCTTGTGTCCGGGTGTCTGGCCAGCTGACACCCGGACACAAGAGACTAAGTACAGATGCCGTAACTTTAATTTTTTGGACAGATTTGGCTGCCAGAGGTCCTTAGCAAACACGCAGGACCTCAGGCAACCGCGGGTGCTTGTAAACAGGCACAGGCCGGCCTGCACATCTCCTTCTCTGGCTCCTTCCTGACAGCTCGCTGCCCGCATCTGGACCCCTGCACTTTCCACACAGCCACCTGAAAGCCAGCATATCCCATCTGAAACCCTGCATAGCCCACCTGAGAGCCCGCATAGCCCACCTGAGAGTCTGCATAGCCCACCTGAGCCCCGCATAGCCCATTTGCGAGTCTGCATAGCCCACCTGAGCCCCGCATAGCCCATTTGCGAGTCTGCATAGCCCACCTGAGCCCCGCTTAGCCCATTTGAGAGCCTGCATTGCCCACCTGAGCCCCGCATAGCCCACCTGAGAGTCTGCATAACCCACCTGAGAGCCCACACAGTCCACCTGAGAGTCCGCATAGCCTACCTGAGAACCCACACAGCCATCTGAGAGCCTGCATAGCCCACCTGAGAGTGCGCTTAGTCCACCTGAGACCCGCATAGCCCACCTGAGAGTCTGCATAACCCACCTGAGAGCCCACACAGTCCACCTGAGAGTCCGCATAGCCCACCTGAGACCCCACACTGCCATCTAAGAGCCTGCATAGACCACCTGAGAGTGCGCTTAGTCCACCTGAGACCCCGCATAGCCCACCTGAGACCCCGCATAGCCCACCTGAGAGTCTGCATAGCCCACCTAAGAGCCCACATAGCCTGAGACCCCACACAGCTATCGGAGAGCCACCTAAGAGTCCACACAACCCACCTGAGAGTACGCACAGCCCACCTGAGAGTCCACACAGGCCATCTGAGACCCTGGAGACATCAGGATGCCACCCCTGAACAACACAGAGTATGGACTTGACGAGGGAGCTGGAAAGCAGGACGTTTTTGGATGAGCGGAGGGGATGGTTAGGGTGATACTTAGAGACAAGGTTTGTGATATAGCCGAAGGCAGAGTTGTGAATGGCTTTGTAAGTGGTTATTAATATTTTGAATTTCATCCTTTGAACTATTGGAAGCCAGTGCAGGGATTGGCAGAGGGGGGTTGCAGACATTGAACGGTTGGTTAGGTGAACGAGTCTAGCAGCAGCATTCATGATAGACTGAAGGGGGGATAGCCTGTGTAGAGGTAAGCCAATGAGGAGGGAGATGCAATAGTCAAGACGAGAGATAACAAGTGAGTGGTTGAGTAGCTTTGCGGTTTCATTAGTGAGGAAGGGGTGTATTTTGGAGATGTTATGAAGGTGAAGGCGGCAGGATTTGGATAGTGATTGGATGTAGGGAAGAAAGGTGAGTTGAGGGTATTAACAAATCCCTTACATTATTGAAAAAGTTAAATTGACCAACTCTTTGTGATTTAACAATCAGAAGTAACTCATCAACCTGTAAAAACTAATATATCACTGTTTGAAAACTCACACTCAGAGCAATTTCACCCACTAGAGCTATAGAGGAATAGATGCAATATAGTAGCTGATGTAATGTTCCCTTTTGGCCACAAGGTGGCAGAACACACCAATTCTACCAACTAGGTTTCTGATTACAGCAGCCTATTTCAACCAGGGAAATTCCAGATATAGATAGGAGTCCCTGAGCAATCATCAATTGCAGACTTTTAGTATCCATTGACACCAATTATGTTTGTAGCTCTACTTAAGGGGTCATTATTCCCACCGATCACCAATGGAAGGAGTATTCTTCCCTTTGACCACCAATGAAAGGATTATTCTTTTCACTGACCACTAATAAAAGGAGTATTCTTCCCACTGGCCACTAATTATTATTATACAGGATTTATATGGCGCCAACAGTTTGCGCAGCGCTTTACAATATAAGGAAGACATTACAATCACAATACAATTCAAGACGATGTTAAAGAGGGCCCTGTCCGTGAGGGCTTACAATCTAAAAATGGAAGGAGTACTCTTCCTATTGACCACTAATGGTAGGACTATTCTTCCCATTGACCACCAATGGAAAAGGTAACTTTTTAATGATATTGTTCCTCTGTGACATGTCCAGGATGTATTTATTTAGTAATGTTACTGAAAGATCCACTTTAAATCTTTGATCCATAGACCTCTGATACTTTAGTTCACAAACTCAGACAGAACAACACCTTACAAAGCAAGATACAGTATTATGTTTATATATATTTGATATCCATAAATGTGAAAGTCATGCCTGCATTATATATTTATCTGTGTATATATATATATATACACCTTTTATTAATTTTGTACAATGCTAACATTATTGTTAAAAATATAACAACAATAATGTGCAGTTCCCTTAAATCATGTTTCCATTATACCTGACCATTGGGGCGTGACAGGACAGTGATGCATTGTGGGTTGCTTCTGAAGTAAACACGTCCTTTCCACAACAGATCCGTAGGTGGGTTATGAGAAACCTTTGGTGCAGATGCCCAAACCTAAATATTATGAAATGGTTATAAAGGGCAAAATAATAGTCAGAAAGTTAAATATATCGTTGAAACTGTTTAATATGCCAAAAGAATTGTAATTCTGTTAAGTGACTCCAAAGATTCACTCCCCTTGCCTGGCAACATATAAAAATCACAGACCTGGCCAAGCTTGTGATTGGATAGTGGAAGAGAACCTCAATGATGAGGTCATCACTGTGTGCTCTTTCTGTGCTAGACAGACAGCATTGTGCAGTGCAGCAGATCCTGATTGGCTTACAGTGCTGGTCCTCACTCTTCCAGTGTTTCTATACAGCAGTTTACAGGAAGCTAATATATATCAAGCCAGATTAAAGTATCACTAAAATACATGTAATACTTTTTTTTAGGTAAATATGGCTCATGTACAGTATATCTGTTATTTATGGGCATATGTCTATGTTCAACCTGAGGTTAGGTTCACACCAGATGCAGTGCGTTCCCGTCCGATTATGGCCTGAACCCACCAAAATTACATTGCGGCACGTGGCAAACCATTGAATTGAATGGCACCGTAGCCACGCCCTCCGGCCGCAATGCGATCGCCCACATGCGACCAAAATAGTGCTTGCCGCATTTTGATTGCACCAGACCGGACCGCAGGCACAATGTGCCTTGCGATCGCATTGCAGCTGGAGGGCGTGGCTACGGTGCCATTCACTTCAATGGCCCGCAACGCCCCCTCCTGCCCCACAAAAAAATGAGACGGCTGCAATGCGATGCAGTGCGTTCCAGCCAGAATCGGACCGGAACGCACTGCATCTGGTGTGAACCTAGGCTTAACAACATAAGCTACACTTTCACAATAACTTGTAACTTTATCTTGTTCCTGGCTCCACTGTGAGCTATAATACAGATAAGACGGGCACTCTTTAATATTAGAAGAAAGCTTTCTCCATGCGAGAACCCAAATCGTGTTGCCAAGGGAAGCAGTGATAGTGAAGTTGTATGCACCATGTTGACACTATGCTTCTCAGTGCACTTGGTGGCCTGCATCCAACTTTGTTTTAAACATGAGAATCATTAAAAGCAAAATATCGTTTATTCTTAGCAAGTATGAGTATTGTAGGGGTTGCCTGTAAGAGAACCTGTCTCCAGACCATTCATTTTAACAACAATCTTCCCATAAGATTATATGTGCATTTAACATGTTTTAGACATGTTATGCATCTGTAAAACCCTCCCTTGTGCAGACATCCAAAAGCCGTAAGGCGGTTGCTGGGTACCTCCATCCATCCAGCTGCTGATCTGATGTCAGCAGCTTCAGCAGACTCAGAGGTGTCACTCAAACGCAGTATAGTACTAGCCTTTGCCCCTCCCCTGGCTGCTACATAAAAGGTTATGTAGCAAAACGAGGGGAGGGGCTGAGGAGTTGGCCCAGCACAGACAGCAATTTGACATTTCCAGCAGAGGCGAAGAGTACGATGTGAAAGAAGGGAGGGGCCTGTGCTGGGGAATTCTCTGGGTGTCAATTTCCTAACAAGCTTACAGGCACATTGCAAGTTAAAAAGCATTTATGGGAAGATAAAATGTTACAAGTGTGCATTTAACATTCTTGACTTTACTGTGTTTTACTAGCATTTTTAATTTCACAATGTTACATGCTTGATCCATATTTATGTTATTGTAGTAGATATAGGTATTATATAGAGAGATTTATGGATTAGCCTATGGGGCTATTAAGATAAAATATAAACTACATAGGAAGTGCATTGTTTTCAGTGCACTGGACGAGCCATAAACTGGCATTGCGAAAAGGAGCAGTGAAGCACCCCCATTGTGTAGCAAACCACAAAGCACAGCGCCTGAATATGGAATGAGGAAATATGGCTCGTCACATGTACATATCATACATATTTTAATGTTTTGTAATCGCCAACACACAGTTTCAGATTATAACATCAAAGTGACACTAAACTCAAGAATTAAAAGAGAACTTTGAGGTAACCTCTTTTTTCAGCATAGTTCTCTTTAGGGTCATGGGAGGACATATCCTAACCTCCTCCCATGACCCAAAACTCAGTATATAGCGGGCTATAGCTCACTATATACTGAGAGCGCCGCAGCTGAGACAGATCCCAACAATACTGTTGAGATCCATCCAGCTGGCTGATTGACAACGGGCTCTGCTGTTACCTTATGAGTTTATGTCAAATCTTCATAAGACGTATGTATATAGTTTTATTTCTTGTTTTAAATATTTCCCCTGAGGTGTTGATAGCTTGTAGGGAAATAAAGTCTTTGTTGTGCTTATCACTGTGGAGGGGAGTGCCAGGCCCAATGAATTGCAAATAGGGTCATTGTTGAGCCCAGGCATGTCCATATAATTACCATAGAGGTGCAACTTCAGTATCCTGTGTATCAGGAGCCAAGACCCTTTGATCTAATAACAAGTAGACTGGCCAATCGTAGAGAGGGGTGTGGAGTTGTAAAGAGGGTCTTGGAAACCCTCCAATCTCCAGTAGGCCTTGGGAGGCAACCAATGGGAGACTTGTCATGCATCCCTATGGACACCAGGGGTATATTAATGACTGGAAAAAACAGCTCGGCCTCTTTTCACCAGGATGGGGCCTCATGTGACGATTAATGGGTAACTATACATATAATCTTTCCCCCACTTAACTGTATGTCTGTTTGTCGGTTAGATACCAATGTCTGGGTATTTGGCATGATTAAATCTTTTCTTTGTATGTTGTAGTTAAATAGATTGTTGGTTCATTGTATTTAAGTCTTGATACTATATACCAATAAATTCTGTTATTGTGTTGAGCTCAAAAATCTCATGAATGAATCCTTAGAATCTCAAACCTGTAAGTGTGAATGCTTATATAGCGGTTCATAACTTAAAATAGTAATTCAGGTAACAGAATTTATTGGTATATAATATCAAGACTTAAATACAATGAACCAACAATCTATGACTCAAATATTTTGTACAAACAAGCCTTGAGGCACAAGAATTTACAATAGAATAGTGTAGCTTAAGACTGTGCCCGAATGGCAATAGACAGAGGAGACACTAAGAACAAAGGTGAAGGGATACAGTCAATACTGTAAACACACATACAATAGTACAGGGGAACACCTAGACAGACAATAGAGACAGCAAACAATTGCAATGGCCCTCAATTGTCGGTTAGATACCAATGTCTGGGTATTTGGCATGTTTAAATCTTTTCTTTGTATGTTGTAGTTAAATAGATTGTTGGTTCATTGTATTTAAGTCTTGATACTATATACCAATAAATTCTGTTATTGTGTTGAGCTCAAAAATCTCATGAATGAATCCTTAGAATCTCAAACCTGTAAGTGTGAATGCTTATATAGCGGTTCATAACTTAAAATAGTAATTCAGGTAACAGAATTTATTGGTATATAATATCAAGACTTAAATACAATGAACCAACAATCTATGACTCAAATATTTTGTACAAACAAGCCTTGAGGCACAAGAATTTACAATAGAATAGTGTAGCTTAAGACTGTGCCCGAATGGCAATAGACAGAGGAGACACTAAGAACAAAGGTGAAGGGATACAGTCAATACTGTAAACACACATACAATAGTACAGGGGAACACCTAGACAGACAATAGAGACAGCAAACAATTGCAATGGCCCTCAATACCAATCACAAAAGGTCTAACAAAGTAGTCCACATGTAAAGGGAAACTAAACTTATTTTGCTAAATTTAACAGATATTAAACCTATCGGCTAATACTTGGGATACGTCTTCAGAAATGTTACAAGGAAAAACTGTGTGGTACATACCACAATCCTTCAATTATTATCTTTATCTGGTCCAATGACCACACATACACAGCTTTATGTGCACAGAAAACACAATAAAACTCGTATCTATCTGAAGAGATTATAATCACTTCTCTAAACATCCTTTTTCCAAGAATTAAGGTATTTTCCACATATAATACCATACGACAAAAAATTTCCTCTTAACGTCATTTCCAAATAACTACTATGCACTTAGTTGCAACAACTTAAAACTTTAAGGCTTTTCACCAACACAAAAACAATCTTTCTGTGCCTCACTGATAAAAATTACTTTGGTAACGAACCACAAACAAAAATAAAATAACAAAAAGCTAAATCTTCCCGCTCAGTATATCCTCCCTCGTTTTTCGAGTTCTTCTAATATACATACAATTTCGGGATTTTTTAATATTTAAAATAAAAAATAAAACATGATGTGGTGTATCCTCCCTCGTTTTTCGAGTTCTTCTAATACCCACCCATTTAAACATAAAAAGTGCCTATATTAATTAAACAGAATTGTTGTAGCCTTATACTACTGGTAAACTGATCCTCAGTTTTAAAACCACCCCAATAACCTTACCTGTATTAACCAGGTCTAGGTGCTATTGTGCTGATACTCAAAATCTGGAGTCCCTTCGTGGTCGCCAATTCTGTTACCTGAATTACTATTTTAAGTTATGAACCGCTATATAAGCATTCACACTTACAGGTTTGAGATTCTAAGGATTCATTCATGAGATTTTTGAGCTCAACACAATAACAGAATTTATTGGTATATAGTATCAAGACTTAAATACAATGAACCAACAATCTATTTAACTACAACATACAAAGAAAAGATTTAAACATGCCAAATACCCAGACATTGGTATCTAACCGACAAACAGACATACAGTTAAGTGGGGGAAAGATTATATGTATAGTTACCCATTAATCGTCACATGAGGCCCCATCCTGGTGAAAAGAGGCCGAGCTGTTTTTTCCAGTCATTAATATACCC